TCTATTTTTACCTTTGTAAGTAATGTGTATCTCATGGGGCGATAATTTGAGACTATGCAAATATCCTATATCTCATCATACTTCATTCACTAATTTTAGCATCTGTCAGCAGATCTTGTCTACAGTAGTCATTACTGTGCTATTTGCCAAATGGTGATTTTCTATTTCCATCAGTGCTTCTCCATTTGTTATTTGGAATCTGTGAGAAAGATCTGTCCCTTCTTTCTATTCAACTATTTATTCATATCAATATTGACTCATGGCTATTTATTCTATGTAATTGTAATCCATTACTATTACTTTTTAATTTTGTTACATTGTCTCAGACTCAGGTATTGGGGGCTCCTTCAGGTTAGCTTCTGTGTCTCTTGCTAGGGCCTGATTTTTTGGAATACTTTCTTTTATTCTGGTACTGTGTGATGTTCTAAGCTTTTGTACCTGCCAGTATTTTCTATTTTTTTTCCCTCTCCTGACCTGTAGGATGAGTGAACTCTCTTTCCTTCTGGCTTCTTGCTGGCTTGTGTTTTCTCCAGCTGATACCACATTTTAATACCCAGGCTTTCTCTTTTAAGCAGCCTGGGCATTCTCCATGCCAGGAGATGGTAAGAATTGCTGGTTCCTGTGGCAGGACTATGGATACTGATCAAAAATGGTTGTAAAACAGCAATTCAGTGTGATAACCTTGTAGCAAATAGTTCTTAGCTGGTCGGGCTGGATGGTGAATTTCCAGCTGGGAGCATGTATATTTGAAAAAGCATACACAGTGATATGATTTTATATTAGAAAAGTGAAATAGGTGTAGACACAGATATAAAATACCAACTTAAGGAACTGGAGGTTCATGAAATCCACTGGTGTTAAGGGCAGACATTGCAGAAATCTCATCATTGAGGGGACTCTTGGGGGCTGGGGTACTGGGCTTCCTAAGAGTTTCTGTTTATATTAATGGGTGTGTGGGTTTGAAAAGCCTAGGGAACAATGAAGATTAAGTAGATTTCTCACCTGCAGGGTTTCCAGGCTCACAGAAACCCTCCCCTGCAGATAAACAGAGCTGCTAAGAGGAGAAGTCAAAATCCAGCTAAGAGGGCAGCCACAGTACTCAGGCCTCTCACCCTGTGGCTAGACCACATGTTCTCAGCCCTTATTCCAAAAGAGCCTTGAAGACCTGCAGGAAGGATATCAAGTTCATGAGCCTGCTCCTCTCCACTGTGTAGGGCCCGTGGGGTAGCTGGGAATTTACCTTCTTCTCTTGGCACCAAGAAGGCCCATTGGGAGACAAATAGAAGTCTCATTAAAGGATTAGCTTTTAAATAGCTTTTAAATTCCCTTTTTAAATAGGAATTTAAAATTTAGAACATCTGTAGACTTTGGAACTTGAATTGCCATGAGGTGTGTGCCCCTGCACCCCTTCCTTGTAGAGCGGGACCCTCAGGGCCTCTGTTCCCTCTCCTTTAGGCCCCCAGCCTACTGCTCAGGCCCCACTCTCCTATACTGAGTGAGAGATGCTGAGCCTGGGAGCTCCCTATTGGCTTTTCTACCTCTGTTCTCCCCCTTCCTGTAAGCTACTCTGCTCAAAGACCCATAGCAGCAACTTGATGCCAAGTTCAAATTCCTTGAGCTTGCTGCCCATAACTGATTTTTAAGTTTCTGTTCATGACTCTTCTGTGTGAGCCATGTCCTCCAACCAGCCTGCTGTCCCCTTGTTTCCTGTCATTGAGCTCACATCTCTCTGTTCTCTCTGAAGGCTTCAAAAACAGCCAAACCAGGACTCACTTCTTTCCCACAAGGGTCAGGCACTCCTGCCTACAGGGCTCAGTCAGGCTGCCTGCTGCCTGTGCTATGATGCTTAAGTTACCCTAAGTCCCTGTTCCACCAACAGGTGGCCTCCCCCAGTGGGAAATTTCGGCTCCTCATTGGCATTCAATAAGTATGTTTGATTTGCTTTTGTTTCTCATCAGAGGTTTCTTAGGGAGAAAGCTTCACATATCCAAGTTAGGAGGACCATGGGGACACTGATACTGAATACTTCTAATGATAATTCTGATACTTCCACAGGTTTAGATCCCTGAGCTCAGAAACGAGACACAGGCTAGACCCCCATGCATTCACTTTATGCACAACACTGCTGTTCTTGTCTGCAAGAGACCGAAGTGTGATGTCATTTATTGGTGCACTTAACCTGGAGACCCAAGAAACAGGATAGGTGCTGACTCTGATCCAAGGTGCCCAGGTGACATGGCTGGTGACATTCACTGTCTGGTTTCCATTCTCTGTCTTCTTTGGAAGGGATCTCCTGCCTAGATTTAAAATCCTTTGTGAAGTGGCAGTTTCTGCCTCAGCACAAACCAGCTTTTGCTACAGGCCAGATGAAGGTAGCCAAGTGTGTCCAAAATGCTCCAAAATGCCACATTTCTTCATCTATCTGTGTAGCCCTTTATTAACCATAATACTGTTTCAAAATTATTCTTTTCCTCCCTGCTATAAGATTCACCTGTTAGGTAGAACCTAATTGAAGAAATTGCTTTTTGTACATCAAAAATGGTCAGGTATTAGGATTATTTCTGGCCTTCTCCACAGCTCTGTGAGGTGGGTGCTGTTGCTCTTACTGTTACTGATGAGAGGCCTGAGGTCAGAGAGAAAGTCAAGGAGCTGGAGTTTGAATCAAGTCCATCCTGCACCCTCTTCTAGGAGCTGCCTGCAGGAACGCGGAGTCATGTGACAGCTGTGATTGGTTAGTGACATCTTGAAAGGTGTCTCTGAAAGAGCAGACTGTGGGCTCAGCTCCCTGAAACTAAGGTGTTCTTAGTGTTCCTTACCCACACCAAGCCTTCCAGTGGTCGGGGGTGGGGGTGCACAGTGTTGGCAAGGGGAAGACTCCCAAGGTAGCTCCTCAGTCAGAGCAACCTCCAGGTGCATAAAAAGGCTTGCTGTCCATTGTAGAGATGTGCCCAGGAGGGTTTCGAGCCACTCACGCATATCAGACCTGGTCCAGACCCCAGTGTGAGGCAGGTGGATGGAGAAGCAGAGTGTCTGGGCTGTGTGGGGACCCATTGACTTCATTGGAACTAAACTCAGGAGCCCCACAGCCCACCTGCTCCTGACCTGCTGGTCTCCCCAGCCTTGGGAGGCAGCACTGCATGGGGAGTGTTCAGGACACTGCATTGCAGATGCTTGCCGTGCCGGGGACTGCTGTGTGGCTTGGCAGATTGCTCCTCCTCTTCATGTGATGAGGAGGACTTGCTTAGTGGTCATTCACCTTTTTTGCAGTGGAATTACTTCTTCAGAGCAGAGCCCCATGCTTCCAAATGAATTTCTAGAGAACCTACCTATACTAGCCTCCTAGGCTGCTACAATAAATTACTACAAATTTGTAGGCATAAAATGACAGAAACCTGAAATCATTTGTGAGCAGGGCCATGTTCCCTCTGAAAGCTCCAGGGGTGCATCCTTCCTTGCTTCTTTTAGATGCTCGTGGTTCCTGGTAATCCTGCTTGTCTTCATCTCTCTGTTCTCTGTCTTCATCTTCACATGCCCTTCTTTGTGTGTCTTCTTCTATTTCTTATAAGGGCACTGTCATTGAATTTAGGGCCTATCCTGATCCACTGTGATCTTATTTCAAGATCCTTAATGAGTTACATGTGCAAAGACCCTGTTTCCAAAGTATGGGCATATTCTGAGCTCTGAGGTTCTGAGTAGACATGAATTTTGGGGTAACACTATCTAATTAGTTCACTATTCCAAACAAAACAGATTTAAGGAGTTTGGTTCTGTTTGGAGCTAGATGGAGGCCCAAGACCTTGACCTTCCCATCCACCACTATCCTCAGCACCCCTAAGAATCAGGTCTACAAACCACTGGGGGCCCTGGAGCCTAGGCAGCCTTGACTCACCTGGCCTATTCTTTATTTTGGGGCTCAGGAATAATGACATTTAACTGTCCTAGCAGGTGACCTTTGAGTGACTTAAGAGAAGAACTTGTGTCCACAGCCCTCATGGATGTGGGTGGGCCCTGGTTGGGAATTTGGACATCTCCATTGAAGCCAAGATCACTGCAGGCCTGGTGCTAGCCTGTCAGGTTCAAGGAGCAAGTGCCCTTCCTCAGGCAAGTCACTGGGAAAGTGTCAATGTCACACTGCATTTTGCCTGTTGACATGGTAGTCTTCCAAGCAGAGGTGGTTTGGAAAACCTGAGTATCCATTCCCTGGGCAGGGCCATGGAAGTCACCCTTCTTCCTCCTGAGAGCAAACAAATGAAGCCATTTCTTTGTTCCTTGCCTTAGCTGGGCTGTGTATTCCGGGCTTCTTGCTTCACATTTGGTTGCTAAGAAGATGAGCTAAGACAAGCTATGTTGCTTTATACTGATCTCCCAAGGGCCAGAGAGGTGACATGTCCAGTGTGTCACACAGCAAAGCGACAGCTTGGTGTGAAGTTCTGCAGGGTTCTGGCTGAGCCTTTGGCCATCTTTCTTTCCTCCATAGCTCATGATGGGGAGCATTCGTGCATATATTGTACTCTTGTGGACTCACTCACATGTTCAAACCAGGATAACTTACAGTGAAGTAAAGCAAAACAGTGACTTGTGTCAGCTGCTGCTGTTAAAAAGGGCGTAACTAACACACTTGTCATCACAGCTCAGGTGGTGGGGTTGTAGCTTCTTGTGATCACTGAAAAGCCAGTCCTCATCCTCCCAACTCCAGTAGGTGTATCAGAAGACAACTGGGTGATGGCAATGTGATTAGAAGGACAACATTGACCTAGATGCATACAAAAGAAGCAGGAAAACATTTCCAAGCTTTAAAACTAACAGTCTGTAATGTGATTTAGGACCAGGATTTTGGTTAAGAACCATTTGTTTTTTTCTCAAATTTGGCTATAACCTAGAATCACTTGGTAAAAAGCAGATGCCAAGGAGCCTGCATGGTGCCTGGCATAGGGAGAGCTTATGGTGACCCCAGACTGACTGGAGTCCTTTTCCTTTCCTTTCTCTGTCCCTGTAGGCTTTTGCTGGTGCCCATAGGGATGGGTGAAGTCCACCTGGCCTGTGGCACTTTTCAGCAGCCATCGTCTCACTAGGGCCCCCTAGTGGCGTTAGGATGCACCTCTCAGCAGTGTTCAATGCCCTCCTGGTGTCAGTGCTGGCAGCGGTCCTGTGGAAGCACGTGCGACTGCGGGAACATGTGGCCACTCTGGAGGAGGAACTGGCTCTTGGCCAACAGACCCCAGAGCCAGCCCAGGGACTTAGGATCGACTACCCGAAGGCCCTACAGATCCTGATGGAAGGCGGCACACACATGGTGTGCACGGGCCGCACGCACACGGACCGCATCTGCCGCTTCAAGTGGCTCTGCTACTCCAACGAGGCGGAGGAGTTCATCTTCTTCCACGGCAACACCTCTGTCATGCTGCCCAACCTGGGCTCCCGGCGCTTCCAGCCAGCCCTGCTGGACCTGTCCACCGTGGAGGACCACAACACCCAGTACTTCAACTTTGTGGAGCTGCCCGCCGCAGCCCTGCGGTTCATGCCCAAGCCAGTGTTTGTGCCTGACGTGGCCCTCATCGCCAACCGCTTCAACCCCGACAACCTCATGCACGTCTTCCACGACGACCTGCTGCCGCTCTTCTACACCCTGCGGCAGGTCCCCGGCCTGGCCCACGAGGCCCGGCTCTTCTTCATGGAGGGCTGGGGCGAGGGCGCACACTTTGACCTCTACAAGCTCCTGAGCCCCAAGCAGCCACTCCTGCGGGCACAGCTAAAGGCCCTGGGCCGGCTGCTCTGCTTCTCCCACGCGTTCGTGGGCCTCTCCAAGATCACTACCTGGTACCAGTATGGCTTTGTGCAGCCCCAGGGCCCAAAGGCCAACATCCTTGTCTCCGGCAATGAGATCCGGCAGTTTGCACGGTTCATGACAGAAAAGCTGAATGTGAGCCATGCAGGGGCCCCACTGGGCGAGGAGTACATCTTAGTCTTCAGCCGCACCCAGAACAGACTCATCTTGAATGAGGCAGAGCTGCTGCTGGAGCTGGCCCAGGAGTTCCAGATGAAGACAGTGACGGTGTCTCTGGAGGACCATGCCTTTGCAGATGTTGTGCGGCTGGTCAGCAATGCCTCCATGCTGGTCAGCATGCACGGGGCTCAGCTGGTTACTGCGCTGTTCCTGCCCCGTGGGGCAACTGTGGTTGAGCTCTTCCCATATGCCGTCAATCCTGACCACTACACCCCCTATAAGACGCTGGCCATGCTGCCCGGCATGGACCTGCAATATGTAGCCTGGCGGAACATGATGCCAGAGAACACAGTCACACATCCTGAGCGGCCTTGGGACCAGGGGGGCATCACCCACCTGGACCGGGCGGAGCAGGCCCGTATCCTGCAAAGCCGTGAGGTCCCACGGCATCTCTGTTGCCGGAATCCCGAGTGGCTGTTCCGAATCTACCAGGACACCAAGGTAGACATTCCATCCCTCATCCAAACCATACGGCGTGTGGTGAAGGGCCGTCCAGGGCCACGGAAGCAGAAGTGGACAGTCAGCCTGTACCCAGGCAAGGTGCGGCAGGCACGATGCCAGGCGTCTGCGCAGGGTGCTGCTGAGGCTCGCCTCACCGTGTCCTGGCAGATCCCATGGAACCTCAAGTACCTGAAGGTGAGGGAGGTGAAGTACGAGGTGTGGCTGCAGGAACAAGGGGAGAACACCTACGTGCCTTACATCCTGGCCCTGCAGAACCACACCTTCACAGAGAGCATCAAGCCCTTCACCACCTACCTGGTATGGGTCCGCTGCATCTTCAACAAGACCCTCCTTGGGCCCTTTGCAGACGTGCTGGTGTGCAGCACGTAGCAACGGGCCATGGCCAGGCCTCGGGGGGCCTCTCCAGCTCAGTGTCCCCGGCCCTCTGGTCCTGCTGTGGCAACTTTGGGGAGTATTTATTTATTTATTGAGCAGAACTGTGCCAGGCCTGCACCCCCATGTCTTCTTGTTGCATCTGGCTTTGGTATTCACAGTACCCCTCTTCATCCTGGAGTGATGGGCGCCCACTGCCTTCTTCTATCCTTGTCATCCATTCCCTGCAGAAGCTCCTTAGTGAGGGGGAAGAGGAGGGGGGAAAGCAAGAGTCCCAGGGAATGCTCTGACTGAGCAGTCCTTTGGACTGGTGTCCAGGCTTCTGGAAATTGGGTAATTGTGGTTGGTAGCTTCATCACCACGAAGTTCACCTGTAGCCCAGGGATGGGTGTGATTGGAATAGTCATTAAATGATTGTGAACACTGTGGTCAGGTGTTTTCATTGAGGTGAGGAGGGTTGGTAGTTAGTACTCGATGCCCTTTAATCCTGATTATCAACCAAGGAAATGCGTGATAGGAAGGCATCAGGACTGTGAATCGAGTAGGCTGGGTAGATTCCATTTGTCTGGCTTGATTAAAGCCACACACCCATCTCCATGGGATGAAAGCCCTCTCCCATAGAGGACTGAAGAGCCCATCTACCAGGGGATTTTCTTAGATCCAACTAGGCATTCAGACTTGACCTAGATAGACTATAGCTGGCAATGGACTCCCATAGCAGGATGGGAGGACAGGAGCTCAGCAGTGAGGGGCAAGTAGATTTCTTCTACTCCACTGGAAGAAATAGAGGTGATCCTCCGGGTGACACTTAAGCCTCGTGCACTTGACACACTGCTTTATGGATGTTGAAAAGAAAAACCATTAAACCAATAAAAAGAGAAACCTCTTAGCTCAAGGGCCAGCTCTCCTGGAAACCCCAGTCTGTCTCTTCCAGCTCCTCAGATAATTAGGCCTGTGACATCCGCAAGCCCCCACCTCTGCAGCCACACTACCAGGAAGACTCAGCTGCCCACCGGGGGCTTCTCCGGGACCGAGGCTTAGAGCAGGTTTGTGTTGAGCAGGTCGCGAAGCAGAAAGAAGCTCAGTGAACAAATGGATTTCTGCCTAAGTCCAGATTGTTTTTACGAGTTTTGTTTTGTTTTGTTTCTATCAACTATTAGCAGGAAAGACCTGCAGACTCATTTCTTCTTGGCACAGCCTATGGTTACAGTGACCTTGGTGTGCTAGCCTTGCACACAGAGGCCCTCGAAGTGGCACAGCTCAAATCTTCATTCACTCCAGGTCTTCATGGGGCTTGTTGTTCAGACTGTTGGCTGGAACCTGGCTCTATTTCCATATTTACATCCTTCTGTCTGTTCAAGAGCCAGCCTGGGGTCTCATTACTGGTGTGGATTCTGCCTAAAATGGTGACCACACATGTCACCTCATCCTCAGTGAATTCTCTGTCTTCTTGGTGAGGTCAGCGTCTGCTTTTCTTGACACCATGTGAGAACATATTCACTCCCCCCTTTTTTTTATGGCATTGGGATTTGAACTCAGGGCCTCATGCATGCCAGGCAGGTGCTCTTACCACTTGAGCCACTCTGCCAGCCATTTTTTTGTGATGAGCTTTTTTCAAGATAGGGTCTCAGAACTATTTGCCTGGGGCTAACTTCAAACTGTGATCCTCCTGATCTCTGCCTCCTGAGTAGCTAGGATTACAGGCATGAGCCACGGGTGCCCAGTGCCCCACACTCAATGGCAATAAGAGCAGAGGCTATTTTCCACTGCCCATCAGTGTTGGTGTTGAGCAGTTGTGAAATATGCTGGTGGTGGCTGCATGTGTGCCTCCTGTGAAAGAGTGAAACTTTGGATTTTTTCTCTTAGCATTAACAAGAACACTCAGTTTATCACTGGGCATTATTTAAAAACAAGACCCTGGATGTCTATAGAACATGTAGAAATGCTAAGAAGTTAGCATCCTTTCCCTGGGCCACACCACAGCATGGCAGGAACCTGGACCATCCATGCCCCACAGCCAGGCCACCCCTTGGCAAGTGCTGAAGCCTACCAGCTCTTCCCTTGTTGCCCCTGCTTGTTGGTATTTTAAAACATTTTATTGGTGTTTACTTATGGTGAAATGCACAGCACTTCAGTTTAGTGTTCTACCAGTTTTCACAAATACATCTGTGTAACCTACACCCCTGCAAGACATAGACCGTTTTCATCTCTTCATAGTCATGGTTTCTAAAACTATGGAACTTTACAGAAGAAATGTAATATGTGGGAGTTATAAGAGCTGGTTTAACATCAAGAGTGTTGACATTTTCATTTCTGTTTCCATTTAAAATCTGCATCTTAACACTTTGTCCCATCAAAGAATCAGGAGATCCTGAGAGCTGTGACCTGGGATGCACAGGAAACTTTTTGTGCCAAAGCCAGGGTCCAAAATCCGCCACCCAAACCCTGGGGCTGGATGTGGCTCAGAATTCTGAACTTTCTGGATTGAGAAAGATAATACAGTGCACATATCACGCAGTATGTGACACCCTTGGCAGGCTCTGAGGTTGCACCCCGTAATCAACACGATGCCATTTCTGCCAGGCTCGTGAATATTCTCGCTGCGTGGGACATGAGTTTTGGCTCCAAGTATGCTAAAAAGCCTTTGATTTTCAGCGCTTTGGGGATTGTTGGAATTGCATCGGCAGGATTGTGAACCTGTGTTGCTATCATTTGACACTCCAACTCAGAAACTCCATCATTTTCCTTGGAACAGCCCATTCAGGGTGCAGGAGCAGAGTCAGGCTTGGAGTGAGGCCAGTCAGGCAGCACAGGGGCCAGCAGTTGGGACCCTCCCCTCAGCAGGCCTCCCCCCCATATACACCTCTGGCCTCTTTCTTAAGGCTGCTTTTCCTGAAGCTGAGCAGAGGCCCCAGCTGCTCCCAAACTACTGACCCCGACAGCTCCACACTGGTACCTTGTCCAGGGTTGATGGGAATATCCTGACTCATGGTTCTGGCTATTTCACTTGGCCTATTTTTCTTATTCCAGAGATAATGGCTGGGGGAGGCATAGGTCAGGCAGTAAGCACTGAAGCTGCTGAGAGGGTTTTTGACAGGATCAAAAAGTAAGCCGGGTGCCAGTGTCTCATGCCTATAATCCTAGCTACTCAGGAGGCAAAGATCAGGAGGATCACAATTTGAAGACAGCCCAGGGCAAATAGTTTGTGAGACCCTCTCTCAAAAAAACCCATTACAAAAAAGGACTGGCAGAGTGGGTCAAGTGTCAGAGCCCCTGCCTAGGAAGCATGAGACCCCACCCCCAAAAAATAAAAAGATGGAATTTTCCTTCAAGTTTGAAGGAAAGACACAGTTAATAGACCTAGCAGACTTTAACCAGCAACAAGTCAAGTGCAGGAACTGGGCCTGCTCCTATGAGCTCCAAATCCAAAGGGATTACCAGAAAAGACGCTTGTGAGAAGCTGCAGGGCACTCTGAGCATCTTTTAATGGTGGGTTTGGGAGGTGAGACTCACCAGCACAACTCCTGCCTGGATTTGAAGTTTCACCTTTCCACCTGCAGGCTAGGTGATCTCAGGCAAAATGGAGATAACAATCATACCAACCCATGGGCTCATGGTGAAGTTAGATGCCTTGAATGATGTACGCAACCTCAGAAGAGGCCAGTTGAGAGGTGCGTCCAGCACCTCCCTACTGGGGAGGCTAGGCAGGGAGTGCTGGGCCTGTCCCACAGTGTCACAGGTGTGGATGTGCACTTGGCGTCTGGCAGTGGGCAGTGTCTGCTCACATGCCCCCTTTGCATCAGAACACAAAAGTAGCTGGGTATAAACTGGGCCCTTGCTCGTGGACAGGAACTCTGGTTTGGCGTTTTCAGAGAGAAACTCCACACATCCCAGCCAATCCACTTGTCAGGCAGTCAGGTTTCCCTCCCTTTCCAGGTGACTACTAGACCAGTTAGACTAAGGGAACCTGCTCCCTGGACATGGCTCTGCTTGCCGCCCTCCCTGTAGGGACCAGATACCTGCTTTCACTCAGGTGTCATCTCCTTTGTTTCTTCCTCATCTCTGCAGTGTGGGAGTTGACCATGGCCACCCAGTGAGAACAGGGGTGGGCTGCAGCCAGGGAGTCAGCCTGCACTTCCATTGGGCAGAGACTCCAGGGCAGGCAGAGGAGAGGACAGCTTTAGAATGGAGAAAAACAAAGTTGTTGGGAGTACCCTGATGAGAGGTCATGGGCCTACGGCCTAGAAGTGAGCCACCTTTGTGATTAACCAGGAGTATGATTCACATCTGCCTTTTGGTCTTCAAGTGCAATAAGGGGACAAAAAAACTGGGAGGCACTGACCAAGTCCTTACTGTACTGGGCTGAGGCCGATGTGGTTTGGTTTTCTGCACTGATTGCTATGGAGGTTGTGGGTCACAGTTCTGTTGTCATATATGACCTGGCCACATATACGTGGCCCTTTGTCTCTTTAGTCCCTCACTGGTTAGACAGTGTCGGCTCTTTTTTCTCTGAGGGGCTGCTTACATCTCGAGATAGAATGAGAACTCCAACTTCACCTAGGCAATGAACTGTGTCCCTGTATTCCTCCCTCCTTGCCATTTTCTAAGGTGACAGGTGTCTCGCTTCCTCTTCTGGGTGAGTCTGGAGGAGCAGCTGGATGCAGGCATCCTTAGAAATAACAGAGCAGAGGGAGAAAAGAGAAGACAAAGAAAAGACAAGTTGAAAGAAGACAAACACTGGTGACCCTCGGAGAAACACCTGAGCTGTCTAAGCCAGACTCACTCTACCAGGGCCTTGGTCTTTCAGGACATATCTGCCACAGAGCACAGAGCATGCTGCTTGGGTGTAGTCCCCACTCCCATCTCCCACGCTAGGTTGTAAATATTGTGGAAAATCCAGTGAAAGGCATAGGGACCTGGTGGCTTTATGGGAAAAGTCTATAAAACCTTTGAGGAATAAATGATTTGTATTTAAGTTATTCTGGAGCATTAGAAAGATGGCAAGGTTCTGTGTCGATTTGATGAGTCCTTCTTAGATTTAGTGAGGTGGTCACGGAGGGGCCAAGAAAGGAAAATTGTAGATCATATATGAGCATGTGTGCAATGATCCTAAATAAACTATTAGCACATTAAATCCTTTAGTTCCTAAAATACCAATCGCCTCCGCTGAATAGGTTATGAGGATAGAAAGATTATCACCATTTGAAAATACGGGGACAGTGTGTTCACTAAACCTTGAAAAGGCATTTAACAGAGCCGGGTGGAGTGGAGTGCATCTATAATCCCAGCCATCGGGAGGCTGAGTGAGGCAAAGTGATCATGAGTTTGAAGCCAGGCAGGCCTACGTAGCAAGTTCCAGGTCAGTCTGGGCTACAGCAGGAGACCCTGTCTCATAAATAGGAGGGGGCATTTTATAAAATTCG